TGAGCATAGAATAAGAAATGAATAGAAGGGCAACTCACGTGTGCAACGCGTCCGTAAATTTTTATGCGCATGCGTGAGGTCCGCCATTACTCTGGCCAGTAACTGGCTGCTGGCGTACTATAGAATATATAGCGAAAGAAGATATTTTGGCTGGAAAATCGCGTTTTTTGACCATGTTTATCAACGAATGTGGGAATTTTGTACAGAAATCGAAATATATAAGGTAAGACATAACGACTGGGCCGTCTACAGGAATTTAGATACTTTTCTCGAGCAAAAATCACATTTTATACAACAATGTTTACATGCAGCGATACAATTATATTTTGTGTGAAGTTTATATGAATATGAACACTCATCTGAGTCAATTGGCTATCCTCTTCCTAATATTTCTTAGCATTTCTTATCATTATTGTCATAAAATAACTGATAACCATTTGTATTTCGGAAAGACATTGAGGTTTTATTTATTAATTTGTGTTTTGACTCGAACACGGCCGCTATGCCACTTTACTTTTGAACATAAATAGTCGATGTCGTGGATAAGAAATTATTTGTAAAAAGCAAAAACAATCATGTTACTATGATAAAAGACATTTGCTGAGCGAAATAGTGCTTTAATAGTAAAACTGCATGTCGATCCAGATCCTAATGAAGAATGATTTCTGTTTCGTTCTTATATGCAGTGATTACTTTAGGTTCAAATTATAAATTAGGTTTCATGGAGTTACCAGGAATTTTGAGATGCATTTTTTGTAAAGTGTCAATATTTGCAAGGTTTATATTTGATTGCTGCCCTACTACATGGGTTTTTAAATTTTATTTAAATTTGTTTACTTGTCACCTACAGCTGCTGACCTTGCTATCACTTTGTTTTCTTTTTAGTTTCATTGCAGCTGATCATCCTGTTTGCTTCTTTCATCTCAATACCCATTGTCAATACCATATTGCTCATTGATTTATGTATGAATAGCATTAATATAATAAACATAGCAATTGTATAACAGCTATAATAACTAAATGTATCATAATATAATATTTGTGGTGTTACTCTGAGTGTACTGTATATCCACACCGGGCGAGCTTGAAAAATATGCCCGGCCACGGTGGGATTCGAACCTACGACCTTCGGAATACTAGCCCAATGCTCTTCATTCGAGTAAGTGATATTTCGGAACAGAATCTAGTTCCTTCGATACCAATGTATTCTACCACAATATTCACCACATATTCACCACATCACACCACATATTCTACCACATATTCACCTGAGTACACTACACCAACACAGAATGGTATCATATTTTTAAAACTTAGTAAATGAATGGACTATTTTTGTATAGTATTAAATGAAATAACATTTGAATATGAGAAGATACAATTGATTTGTGACTTGTGTTCATGATTTTAATATTTACAGTGTGCATTTTGTGTCCTAAATAAAAATGATACATACAGTGGTGTACACAATTTGGTCTGAAAACTGCACTTAAATGTCATAATATATATCATGGTGATGCCCCCACTTGCAATACAGTGTGTATATATTTACTTTAAAACCTCAGGTTCACCAACTTAATTAACTGAGGGTTCAACCTGGAATCCAGGATTCCTATAACCACCTGAAACACCTGCATTTAAAGGGCTTGTTCCTGTCACATGCGTTTCTTCTGCGATAGTTCGAAGTATTTCCAGTGCTTTTCTGCTCATTACAAGTGTTTTTAAAATATGAGTAGTAGTAAAACAAAGCAGAAAGGGGGTAGCAGTCATACTGCTTGGCAGTTAATTGCTCAAATACCAAAGGATCGCATCCTGAACTAAGTTTTTTTCGCTTCCCGGCTATATATAGCAAAAGGTAGGTCCACGGTTTCCGTAAAGACAGATGAAAAAATTTGAATGTTTTCTGCTGCTTTGTATATCGATAAAATAAATAAATGCATTATACACACTGTATGAATGAATTTATTTTGTTCAAAAAAGTATTGAAATTACAAGATGCAATAATTACTACATACTGTAAAGTGTACTTCGGAATTTTATATTTATACAATGTCAATAAAAATCACTTAATTAGTCTCCACTTATGAAAATAATTGGGCAGAACATAATTAGGAAGAAAGTAATTAGGAAGAACAAATAGATGCCCTACTCCTACCTCCTGTGCAGGCCTTCCAAGAAAAGTGGTGGGAAACAAAAAAGCCTTCGTCTCAAATTTCAACCTGTGAACGGGCATACTCATTACGAGCTGTATGGCCTGCGGAGGAGGTAGATAGACTTCTTTTAACATGGTATGTTTAAGTTTGTTGCAAGTAATGACAGCCTTTTGTTTGTGTTCATTTGGTAAACAAGCGTTACCATTGTTTTCTGCCCAATACGTAAATTATCGTATTCATTCAGTGCTCATAGTGTCTATTGTTGGCCATCATTTTTGTCCAATAACTTGTTAGGTTGCTGTACATATACAGGTTTGTAATATCATGACATACAATGTTCCTCACATCCATATGGTAGATTGGAAACAAATACAGTAATTTAATAATACATGGCAGATTCCATCCCGACCCATTGCATTAGATGTAATATATCCATACAATCTTGTAAATCAGAATTCTTGTTTTAATAAAAATACATTTTGATCAATTTTCTGTTTACACAAAGTGCCCTGGTGTTGGAGCCAACATTTTGACGATGATCAAAGCCATTCCCATCACCTTCCAATGGCAATGTGAGTGCGAATATACTCCAGCATAAAATTTGCCAACAGAGACTTAGCCACATCTAAACCAAAGGATAGAAAATCACACATCTTTAAATAACACCAAGGCCACACATCTTTAAATAATATACTGGACATGTGTTAACGCTGCTCTGGTTTACAAGACTAAATATAGCCTTAATGGCTTAATTAAATGACTAAAGTTACTGTTCGCGAGCCAAACATTTAGACACTCTTATTAATAGTTTAGGATATTGAGGCGCAATAAGGATGTCCATTTATGATTTGTTATTCAATCACTGCTAAAGATAGACAGAAAACATCGAAACTTAAAACTATATTAAAACTACTGTCTGTGCTATTGTACGGATAGGCGATAGCTACTGGGTTCGGTTCTCCATGAACAATATCGAAGAAAAAATGCGCCTACGAGCATTTACTTTGACTTTTAAATAAATAAATTGAAACTACATACCTTCTCCTTGAATGCTCTGGTCATTAAAACCAAAATTTTGAACATAAACTCCCACGGTATGCTTTTAAAACGAAAATATAACCCTCGCTCAATACAATTTATATTTATTCTGGCAGCAAGTTACTGGCCAGAGTAATGGCGGCCGTCGAATTTCCGGTATGCGCGACACGACATGCGCGAGGACACCGACTTCAAAGGATCCGACACTCAGTTGCCCTTCTATTCATTTCTTATTCTATGGTTTGAGCATATTTCGCTCAAGAATATCGTGTTTTTTATCATATTTGGTTCTGGATAAGTGACTCCGAATCTTGCCGAAGGCTTATTGATCTCAGGTATGAAATATTACTGTTTATATCGTATAATTATAACGTACATCGACCGTATTTACTCATTTTATCTTGTGGCTGTTATAGCCTGTTGTGGCTGTCTGCTATTGCTAAATTTGAATTTGCGCGCGAGAGGTTTTATATATTTCATTTCAATTCCGTCAAATATTAGTTAAAATCAACAATTCAAATTTTGAATAAACACATCATAGTAAATACTGGGTTACACTTGCCACTTGGTTGACAAAACTGGAGAAAGCATGTTTGAACCCACATAGTATATTATAAAACAATATGTGAATATGAATAATATTTACTTGCTGATTGCTTCAAGCCTATTATTAGCCAAAACGTGAAAATTATTTGAGAGGATTAAACTTACAATTACAATGTTATCTATCTGAATCATAAAATTGTTAACTCAATATATAGAATTGATTATAATATTAGCTTATCAGTTCAGTGCATATATTTCTTGGTTTATAGCATGTAAATGGATTGACTTTAAATTAATATTTAACCCATTGGCATTGAGCTGGAATGTGCCCCAGTGCGCCCTACTTTTTTTCACCTGTCTAACGCCAGTGTCTTCACTCATGTCTAACCCTGCATATATGTGTGTGATATATTGTGCCTGTTTATGTGATAATGGCATGGCTGGACAGGAGGTTTTAATCCAGGATGGTGTGTTTAATATATAGACGGAATACAACCCGCCTCTCCGCCTGGCAGGGATGATAGAGTGCTTGTATAAGAATTTCTCGTCCTGGCAGATGCAATCCCGGCAACAAATAATGGGATCCTGCCTAGGCCAGAAAGAAGTAGAATAATTCACTTTACCGTAAACAGTCAATAGAATTCATATTGCAAGCTAGATGAGATGGGGTGTTAACAGGATATTACACTAGGCCGTACAATGCATAAGCTGCATTGTGCCACAACTTTATTGTTTTACTCCGTCCAATGTCAGATGATTTTACCTGTCAGTGCCATCACTCAACGGGTTACTGAAACAAGTAGCACTTATCTCACATACAACTGAGGTTAAATCATAACCATATGAATGTTTTCTGGAATATGAGGCAATAGCATATTAAATCACAAATACCAACACCATCACCATTACATTTTATACCAATCTAATGGATTTTGCTGCAAAAATTCTTTCTCATGTTATAAACTCTATCCTACATAATAGAATGATTACAAATAAATTACTTATTTCCTTTCATGGGAAAATTTGAGTCATTATGGTCAATTTGAGTCCGAGAAATCATGGTCCCACAGTCAAAATGTCAAATTGTAACCCATGAAGTTGCATCGCACCCTTTATTGTATTCCTGTCTAATGCCAGACAATTTTATTTGTGAGTGGGAGAGTGATGGTGGTTAATTGGTTAAGGATGCCAAGTTATATCATTATGCTTTCAATAAGTAACACAGTTGTAATTTAACACTTGCCCAGGGCAAGTGAATATCATTGCCACAAAAAGCTGGGCATCTTCAAGTTTATGTTTTCATTGCCAGATAAATTTTTTATGCAGTGCATGTTGTACTTGTGCATGGATTCAAATTTTGTTTTTCTGTGGGCCACAGCTAGTCTGAAGCAGTATAACATATAGCCATCTAGAGCAGTGGAAGAATGTGTCGACATGTTGTCCCCTTAATTTATAGCCCCTACCTGGGTACCCCAGTGGCCATTGTCTCATGGCAAGTGAATTTTATTCACGGCAACTAATTTTCATATCCAACTTGGCAAGTTGAACTTGCCCTGATGACAAATGGTCAAAAAAGTAAAGTTATACCACTGACTACTGAGTAAGGTATATATGAGCTACAGTATCATGGTTATAAAAACTCTGGAATAAGGTATGTGGTTATTTTCAAAAAATTTACATTATCACTCATTAATATGTCTGCAGGTTGTTGAAGAAGATCGGAGGAGCCTCAATCAATCCAAAGAAGCAGAAGAAAGTGCATACATGAGGAATTGTGAAAAGCAGCAGCTGATTGACCAATTGGACCCACTTATTTACTATCATGGCATTTCAAAAGGAGTTATGAAGCCACCACATGAACAGTGATCTGGTAATTAAATGATATCATTTTGGTTTTTTTTATTAATTAGAGTACCGGTACCAACATTGGATTCATTAGCACCAGGGGTGGAAAAAGTATCGCACCACGGGACCATTGGTACCAACATTGGATTCATTAGCACCAGGGGTGGAAAAAGTATCAGACCACGGGACCATTGGTGCCAGAAAATTTTTTGAGTTCCCAGAAAATATTTTCCCAAGAAAGAAAAATTGTAATAATTCAAATAAAAAGAGAAATTCAGAGGAAAATTCACACCATGACCTCAGAAATGCAATTATAAGTGTAACCATCTTAATAGTGCGATAGTGTATAAATGTATTAGACTATAGAACGATGTAAAAAATGTTTTATGGCAAATGCATTTTTAGCTGATCTGGGACAAACTTTTCGGGGGGAGCATGCATGATCTCCCTGATAGTGTCCCCTAAAAGTGCCCTAGCTTTTTTGGTATCTGTATTTACCCTTAGGATCAGACCCTTGATGCATGTCAGTTTTATGTTATATTTTAAGATTCTTAGTGAAATATTATTTCCAGTGAAATATTTTTTTCTGTGAAATATAGCATGACATCCAGTGTGACAACTTGTTAGTGTCACACAATTACAGTGTCCAAATGTCCATTTACTTGACTATTTACAGAAAATGTTCAATGTTCTCTTGCGGTCCCAGAAAGTAAAATATTTTTTCCACCCATGATTAGCACCGACAGGTGTCGTTAATAGAAAATAATAAATGAAAATTGCATTATGGTTTATGCTGTACCGGTAACTAATAAATGATATGAAAAATCAAAATTGCATTTTGTAGCTCTCAAAATATCACAATGCTTTTATTAAAAATGTACCGGTAACTTAATTAATATTATTTTTTATGTATGTAATTCTACAGAAAGTACTTCACCTAATGAAGAACATTTAATTTACTCTTCAAATCAAAAAGTCAACCTGCTAAGAGCAAACTGGACATCATAAACTTTGTTGAGGTGAGGTTATAGTTTCATTTTATAAAATTCATTTAGTAAGGCCTGAATCAAATTTAGTGTACACTGTACATATACATCTTCTTAGTTTTGAGCTTTCCTATAGTTGAGATAAAGTTAATATGGGCTAACAAAAACTATCTGCCAGTGTCTCTTGTTCCATCCATCATAGTATTTCGCTCTGTCTATAACCCCAGGGGATAGCTTGTTAAGGGGTGGAAAAAGTATCGGACCACGGGACCATTGGTCCCAGAAATTTTTTTGAGTTCCCAGAAAATATTTCCCCAAGAAAGAAAAAATTGTAATAATTCAGATAAAAGGAGAAATTCAGAGGAAAATTAACACCATGACCTCAGAAATGCAATTATAAGTGCAACCATCTTAATAGTGCGATTAATAGTTTTGCGATAGTGTATAAATGTATTAGACTATAGAATGATGTAACAATTGTTGTATGGCAAATGCATTTTTAGCCAATCTGGGACACTTGATTTCAAAATTTTCTGGGAGCTAGAGCATGGATCCACCTGATAGTGCCCCCAGTGCCAATTTTGCATCTGTATTTACTTTAGGATCAGACCCTTGATGCATGTTATCTATATTAGCTTTATGTTATATTTTAAGATTCTCAGTGCACTGAAATATTTTTTTCTGTAAATATACATGTAGCATGACATCCAGTTTGACAACTTATTAGGTGTCACACAGTTACATTGGCCGAGTGTCGATTTACTTGATCATTTGCAGAAAATTTTTCAATGAACTTTTTGCGGTCCCAGAAAGTAAAATATTTTTTCCACCCCTGAGCTTGTTAGTGAAAACATAAGCTGTTAATTAATGAGGGTTGTGTAGTTGTTACCACAACTATTTTTGTGTTTTTTTTTCCTCAAAAGGAAGGAGACACAGACTTGACTACCTGGCTGCAAATGAGACCCAGTGACATACTGTATCAGGGCTGATCATGACATGGAGCTATTGGCAACATTCGAGAATAGCGAAACTGTAAAAGCCATCTTTACTTCCTGGCGTTGTTCTACTGTACCTGCTCGACTTAGACTACCCATCCAGACTCAGCAGTCTGACATGGTAAAGGCTTTTCAAGAAATTGAACAATATTGCTACGTGTGAGAACTTTACATTTATCTAGTAATTACTTTAATAACCTATTCATGTATAGCTGGTAAATATATTATTTTAAACAATTTCTTAATTGTTTTTATATTGTAGGATGACAACAGCAAAAATCATGCCAAGATTATTATTCTAGTTTCATATTGTCATTTAAGAAAAATATTCTTAAAAGCCATGCACACCAGATCGAACTAGAATAATTTTCTTAGCAGGATTTCAATTCAAGATAATTTTTCTAATTTTGTCCCATGGGTAAGTAAAATTTTCTTATTAAGATTATTTTTCTTATTTCAAGAAAACGTTCTAGCAAAATTTTCTTATTACTAGAAAATAATTCTTGGGAAACTAAGAATTTTTTTCTAGAAATAAGAAAATTTTGCTAGAACGTTTTCTTGAAATAAGAAAAATATTCTTGATAAGAAAATTTTACTTACCCACGGGACAAAATTAGAAAAAATTTCTTACCAAGAATTTTGTTCTAACCAAGATTAATTTTCTTATTTTAAGAAAAATTTTCTTGAAATCTGATTCTTACCTAGAATATTTTACTTACCCACGGGACAAGTAAAATTTTCTTAAAACAAGTAATTTTGTGCTTAAAATAAGTAATATTTTCTTAAAACAAGAAATTGATTTTTTGCAGTGTAATATCGGATGTCCACAAAGAAAATCACGTGATCATATTCAGCATGATTTCGTCTTGAAGAATAGAGACCGTTGTACTATTCAATACTCATCTTCTATAATGTAACATTGACATTATCATTAATCCATTACATTAGGAGATCCAATGTGATCATAGGATTCTCGAGTCTGAACCATGAATCACAATTATAATCGATGAAGCCACTGTTAACAAGGTAACAGTTCGTACTTGACTTTGGTTTTAATCCAGCCACGGAAGGGAATGTACGTGTGTTTTTTTGGACGAAATTTCATTAATTACTTCGACAATGAGTAGATTGGATCTGTAAATCACCAATGTAAATGTACCACAGACTGTAGTTTTGGTAGTGGTTCTATTTTAGTCTTGGTATACCAGTGTTTTCAAATTCCCCGTAATTAAACAACCAAGTTAAGGTGCTCAAATTTTCGTTGTCCATGTGATACGCAGATTCTTGAGTAGTACAAAAAGGCGCAGGTGACGTGTGAAGTGGCAGCCTGGTTCATAGGACTAATAAGTTTAAAAATAAGGAAAAGTTAACATGTTGTGTAATTAATATATTTAAACACTTAATTTGCATGCTGTGCCAGTGTAATATAAATGGAGATTGCATGTAATCCATGCACGAATATATAGTGTATGTCTGTTATGACTACAGTATATCAAGAAATGTTGGATAAATCATAATGTCAATTTACGTTTCCAGACGCTGATGAAAAATCCTGAGATTTCGAAGATAAGAGTCTATTAGTAACAGAATATGGTACGAGTCCCAAGTCCGTTTTACGTATAGATGTGGAAGAATCGGACATATCCAATAGCAGGAAGCGAACAGCCAAATAGATGCACTCAATGTTTGAAAGTCGGGGTAGTAAGAAATACATAACTAAATTACTCAAATATATCAATGATTAATTTCTTACCAATTTGAAACGATGATCCACTAACAGCGCACACTGCAGGACAGCTTTTCACGAAAAAAACTTGGCCTTTCATGGCTGGATTTGGCAGGATCTGTAAAAACATGAACACATACTGTACATAATTGATCACACAGTGCGAAGTACTTATACTGATAGTAAACATTATGGTACACTGTACTTTTACCAAAGGGATAAATGTTATACCTTTACATTGTAAGAACATCCACCAAGTCATCTGAGAAGAGAAGCACTAGAAATGTTGTTCATGAGGAAGAAAGGAAGAGAGAGAGCGCTGCAGAATGAACTGCAGCAGAAAATGTCTTCTTGCATTGTGAAGTTTAGATGGGATTTGTGTCACTGTTGGAAAAAAGGTTAGCATTCATACATACAGCTCAGGTATTATAAAAAAGTATTGCTAAATGTCATTTGAAAACTGTAGCGAGGTGACAACAGCATCATGATCAGAATAATATACACTCAATACGGAACTGTTGATTATTTGTATGGAAGTTGGCTTAACATAAACATGGTCCAATAAACTACCAGCAGAAACAAATGTGGGCTCAGTAACAATTTTTGTATAGTTTAGAGATTCCATTAACGATATTAGTGGTTGAGAATCAGTGGCATTAAAATAATTCATATTGAAGTCACCAAGTGCCATGTCAATTCTGTAGATATTAAGGAGATATCGCAATGCTTCTATATATTGTGATACGCTAGAGTTGTTCTTTCTATACAGTAAAAGGAAGGACCGGGATTCTTGTAGTTTAGTGTCAACAAGAACAAACTTAATAGCCTCGATGGCCATGCTGGAGTACTTGTCTGAATCATGATCTTGACGATAAATTTTAAAAGGTTTTAAATTCGCTGCAATTTCAGCGTCTGAGTCATTAGCCAGAAGCTGTGTTTCAGTAAATGCAAGGACATCAGAATGAAACAACTGCAAATGTAACTTGATATCATTACTATGCTTTCTTAGAGATCTCATATTCAACAGTGATATGGTTACAAACGAGCTGTTGGAGGATTTGTGTTTAGTAAAAGTTCTTAAGCAGGAATTTCGAAGTCTCTCATATTCTTTATGAACTTTTGGATTTGCCTTTATGTGTTTACTTTGTATTTCTCCAAGTATGTGTAAACCTTGTAAAGACGTAGCACGACTTAAGGCTACATAGATCTGGCCATAATTGAAAGATCTTTGTTTATTCAACTCTAAGCTAACAACAACATTTTCAAGAGTAAGACCCTGAACTTTATGAACAGTACATGCCCATGAAAGTGCAACAGGAAACTGTATTCTCTGAATTTCAGGTGAAGAAGGTTTACCTGGTCTAACTTTGAATTTTGCTAAAACAGGCTCAATAAGTACAAGATGATTTTCTCTGGCAAAAGAGTTGGCACTAGTGTTAATCATTGTTTTCCCAGCATTTTCATCATCAAATTTTATATATAGGATAATTGGTATATTACTTCCGTTTACCTGAATTTTAACTACAGTCCCCATTTGTCCATTGATAAGTCGATCTTGTATATTGATATTTGTAGTGAGCATTACTATGGCACCTTCTTTAATATGAATTTCAAAATCAAGTCCACATATTTCAGAACGCCCTCTTGCTAAAACTCTATCTATATCTTGTTTATTGACATTTTTCGGATACTGATCTTTTGCTTTCAGAAGAAATAGCGGTGATTGAATTGTTTCTAGTTTCTTTTGGTTATGTTCATTCACAGGAGTATTTTCAGCCCAAATGTGAAGGGCATCGGATGGATAGTTAGGATCAGATGTTGTTGTACATCTTGACTGAATAACTTTAATATCATCCTCTGTATGCGAAGCTGTTCTAATTCTATTAAGAAGTTCAGTAAATGCCTTATCATTTTTTTTTCTCATGATTTCTGTAAGTTCAACCATTTTGAAGACACCCCATGGATGATAAAGATTGTGAGTTTCGTTTTTGTAATCATCAAAAATTGCATTCTTTTTAATTGGAGGAAGCTGGTATAGATCACCCACAGCTATGATACTAATGCCTGCAAATATGTCAGTTGATGACATACCAAAAATTTCTTTCAATCGTTGGTGGACATGCAATAGTGTTATGTTCCCAATCATAGAAATTTCATCTATAATTATAAGTTTTAGATCTTTTAAAGAGATTCTGTACTGTGTTTTTTTCTGGTCAGACATTCCACGAAGGC